GCCGTTGACACAGCTGTTGCGCAAGGGAGTCGCGTTTAGCTGGGGTCAGGAACAGCATTGCGCGTTCGAAACCTTGAAAGAAAAGTTGAGTAACGCGCTGTTACTTGCATATCCGGATTTTAATCGAGAGTTTATTGTCACGACAGACGCGTCGGATTACGCTCTCGGTGCAGTATTATCGCAAGGGGAAATAGGTCGCGACAAGCCGATAGCGTACGCTAGCCGAGTGTTAAATAAGACAGAGCGCAACTACAGCACTATCGAGAAAGAGTTGCTTGCTATCGTTTGGGCCGTGAAACATTTTAGGCCGTATTTATATGGAACAAAGTTCAAAATTGTGACAGACTATAAAGCATTGGTGTGGCTGTTTAATGTGAAAGATCCCGGATCGCGGCTCGTGCGCTGGCGTCTCAAGTTGGAGGAATACGATTACGAGATAGTGTATAAGAAAGGGAAATCTAACACCAACGCGGATGCACTGAGCCGGAGTCCCGCGCTGGAAGCGAACGCGTGCGAGGCAAACGAGGTAATGAAAGAGACAGAAGAGAACGAAGTGAGTGAGACATGTGAGCTCACGGAGGAGGAACAAAGACAAATACTGTATGAATATCATGATACACCGGTAAGCGCTCACCAGGAAGTAGCGCGGACGGTAAAAAGAATCCGTCAAAATTATAATTGGCCAGGTTTGGTAAAAGATGTAGAAACGTACGTTGCAAAGTGTGAATCATGCCAGAAGAATAAACTTTCGCGAAGAATAAAATCACTTCTAGTAATTACGGATACACCACAGGAGCCGTTTGAGAAGTGTGCTTTGGATATTGTCGGGCCGCTACCGATATCAAGTTACGAAAATAAGTACTTGCTTACGTTCCAGGACAGCCTTACCAAGTTTAGTAAAGCGGTGCCAATACCGAACCAAGAAGCCGCAACCGTAGCAAAAGAATTTGTTACAAAAATAATATGCGAACACGGCATTTCAGGAACTGTGTTAACTAATACGGGTACGAATTTTGTTAGTAAGCTATTTAGGAACGTATGTAAATTCCTGAAAATAAGTAAAGTACAAACGACTGCGTATCACCCAGAAAGCAACGGGGCGCTGGAGCGTTCTCATAGAACATTAACGGAGTATATCCGCCACTTTGTAAATGAAGAGCAAACGGATTGGGACGAGTGGGTGCCATACGCAATGTTTGCGTATAATACCACGCCGCACACGGCGACGGGGTACACGCCGTTTGAGCTCGTGTATGGAAGGCAGGCGAAGTTACCGACGGCGTTGGCTAAGCCGCCTTCGACGCAATATAACTTAGATAATTATGTACAAGAACTAAAGGAAAGATTACGCGCCGCAAATCGCGTGGCAAGAGAAAATTTCAAAGAAGAAAAGGAAAAGGCCAAGCAGTATTTTGACAAGGGTGCAAAGGCAGTTACATTCAAGATCGGTGATAAAGTGTTAATGTATGATAAAACGTTACGCAGGGGCCGATCTAAGAAGTTAGAATCTAAGTGGATAGGACCGTACGAAGTGGTTGCGAAAGTAACTGATGTGACGTATACAATTAAAGC